AAGAAGATATGTATAAAACTTTAATTACAATACATCAATATGGCTACATTTTGGCTAGTTTTATATGATCCTAAGCTTTAAGGGGCAGCCTATAGTACCTAAGCTTTAACCGGTGACTTACAGTACTACTTTTATTTTTATTATAATTGAAGCCAAGCTAGAGCCAGAAACTGCCCTAATACTTAAGCCTTAAGTTGCGGCCTGTAGTCGTACTTTTATTTCTATCTTTTTCTTTTCTTCTCATTCTTCCTCCTCTTTCTTGTGGTAATAAGCTGGATTCACAACTACTATCTTCAGTTTCATTTTCCATACTTCTTCCTTGACATGGTTCAACTCCAAAGTGTTGGAATTTTAAAAAGGTTTTAAAATTTTAACCATTTTTTATTTAAAGGGAAATTTGCATAAATACCACCTAAACTTTTAGGGTTCTTTGTGGTTACCACCTAAACTTTTAATTTTTACTATTAACCACCTAAACTTTATAGGTGTTGCAATGTACCGCCTACGTCTAACTCTAACTCTGTTAAACTTTCTGTTAAGTTTAAGGGCATTTCGGTCAATTTCTTATAATTATAAAATTGCAATTTGTTAAAACGAACATAATCATGTTATAAAATAAATAACAATTATAAATAAATAAAAAAGGAAAAAAAAAACCTAACCTCACTATCCTACAACTTCCCCCCACCCCTTCCAACACCAACTATGCCGCACTGCCTAATGGCCCCATCCCCCACCCTCTGCAATGTCTTAATACACCCTAATTCATCTCTCTCTCTCTCTCTCTCTCTCTCTTTTTCTCTCTAAGAAGAAGAAGAAGAAGAAGAAGAAGAATATTTAATATATGATCGTCTGCAATATTTATTTATGAAACAACATCTCCTACTCCTATAGCCATATTGCAAATACACTCAATTCTTGTTGAAGGTTATCATATGCCAAACAATATATCTGTCTTTTGATCACTCAATTCTTCAACAACCTACCCCAAAAGCTTTTTGATTCAGGGGAGGGAGAGAGATATATAAAGTAGGGTGTATGCAGAGGGTGGGGGAGGGAGCTACTCAGTAGTGGTGAATAATTGGTGTTGGAAGATGCATAAATAAAAAATATATTTATCATTCTATTACTTTTAGAAATTTTAAGTTTTTTAGTTATAGTAAATTTACAAAAATACCCTTAAATTTAAAGGAGAGTTAGCACTAGGTGGTATATTGCAACACTATGTAAAGTTTAGGTGGTTAATAATAAAAATTAAAAGTTTAGGTGATAATTTTGCATATGCCTAAAAGTTCATGTGTCATTTATGCAAATTTCCCTTATTTAAAACTTTTGGCTATTTTATTTTATTTATTGTGAGGGTTATAAATATTTAATTTTTAGATTTTATTTTTATATTGAATGCCTTAATTTTCTAGTTGAATGTGGTGAACGTTACATGTTATTGGTTGCCTACAAAAAGCCACTCCTCCTTCACATTTGTGCAACTACAATACACCATCAGAATATCACATACTCTAATCACCACCACAAACTAATTCTCTTTTTTGTACAAGGGGTCGTATCTTGGAGTCTTGTAGACCGTCAGTATCTACACGTAGGGAGGCCACAAAGGCTTTAAGACAGCGTCTTTGACATGCTTCACTGTACCAAACTCACCTTCTTATTTATTAATTATTTTGCTTTAGTATTCTTTATTCCTTTCCTCCAATGAGATAGTGACACATGCTGAATCAACCCAAGCTCCCATGTTAAGGCTCAGTTTCTCCATTGATGTAGCTAATGAAAGTTGGTTAGCAGCATACTTTACTCTTTTTTGAACATGATTCAATATAGGACAGTCTGAGAAAGCAACACTTATCCAAATGCTCCCATATTTGGAGATGTTATACTAGATATCAGGGAAAACAACTCTCATGAAGAAGTCAAATTCATTTGAGAGAGGCAAGCAAGTCGAATTGCTCTCTCGAACACACTGATTGTCATGAGTGACATCCCTTTGAGCAGGTTTGATTGTTTAGCACTATGAGAATGATACACTGATCGGATTGCTCCCATATTTGGATAAGTTGTTGTACACATTTGAAGGAACAATTACCATGAAGAAGTCAACTTCATTTGACTAGAGGAAAGGCCCTATCAAACAAAATTTATCGGATTGACCATCACTAGATTTCCCTTGAACCATCTTCAATGTTTATTATCCGTTCGAAGATGTTATACTTATCCCATTGCTCTCAAATTTGGACACGATGTAGTAGGCATCTGTAGGAACATCTTCTATGAAGAAAGAAAACTCCATTGGACACTTTAAATCCTTGTCGTACACAATGTATCTGACTGCAGCTGATTGATACTGAAATGACTCTTGCACTGTTTGGGCCAAAAAATTGACACACCCAGCCCAGCGAAAATTAGGCCCAGAATAAAGCTGCAAAAAAATCAAAGAAAGATGGAAGCCCAAAAAACCAGAAGAGCCTAGCCCAAAGCTCATCAGAGCAAACAAGGCTAATCTGGGCCTCACATGCCCAATATAATAGGAAGAGGGAGCCCAGAAATAGGAACAATCCCACGTGACATCTCTGGGATAAAGAAAAGTCAGCAATGGCAACTGTCATAGAAGAAGTGATTGAAGGGTTCATGACATCAAGTTGATTCTGAAAAAACTGAAGATCAAATCCCTCTTACATATATATATGTATATTCAGAGATTTTTCTTCTGTCTTTACAGAGAAGGTAATTCTCCCAAGGAGATAAGCAAGTTACAATCTCAGAAAAGGATAAGCATGAAAGCAGGGAGCTGTCCAGAAAAGAAGTCAAACTAACCATCACGGGTAAAATCTCACAAGGGGCAGTTGAAATTGGGAAA